TGTGTAGGTCTGCGCCCGGGATCTGAACCTGCGAACCCCAGGCTGCTGAAGCGGAGCATGCAAACTTAACCACTACGCCACTGGGCCAGCCCCTACAGGACATTATTGATTGGGGCAATAGTTATTTACTAATGTGTGGGTCCCATATTTTTATGACTATTTTCATTTGCATCAAACTGGACCTGCTTTCCTGAGGGACTATCCAAAAGGAGACTCAAACTTACTAAATGCTTATTGCTAACAAAACATTGTGCTAGGCAACTTCCACATACTATTAATTTAATTCTTGCAATAACTTTGGGAGGGAGAGATGATTTTCTCTGGTTTACAGATGAGAATCCTGAAGCTCAGAGAGGTAAAGTTACTTACCCGAGATCACACAGCTAGTAAGTGGCAGAGCTGGGATTCCAAGCCTGGATTGTCTATCTCCAAAGCCTGTACTTTGTCCTACTTCTCAGGAATGGCATTCAGGCCATTTCTCCTCAGGTTTGGAAAAGCTGTGATTGTCTTCCAGTGAGACAGCATAGCAGATATGACCACTGTGCCTTCCTCACTTCTCAGGTGTTCAAGCAGCCCTGGCCAGGGATCATGCGCACAGTCTATGGGAACCACGAACGCTTTGAGACCACCTACTTTAAGAAGTTCCCTGGCTACTACATGACAGGAGATGGTGAGCCTTGGCTATCCCTTTCCCACACCTCCCACCAAGACACATACCTTCCCGTTCCATTTTCAGGAAGAGTCGGTTAGGGGTGAAGAAAAACAGAGAGAGGAACGTCCTATGCGTCCTGTGTGTCAGTGTCTAATATCTAGGCAGAGCTACAGAGAAGAATGTAAGAGCAGGAATGAATGTTGCAGAAAGAGTCTCAGCATAGTGCCGTCTGAGATTTGATGTATGAGGAAAGAGGTTCTTGTTTCCATTGCTCCTGTGCTGAAAGAGATGGGGCATATGGCAGTGTGTATCACTATGTCATGTGTTTCCCCATGTCTGGAGCCTGTGTTTGCCCATGTGCCCATCCACCGGTCCATTCATCCATAAACATTTATTGAACACCTAGTACGTCCAGGTACTGATCTAAGCACAGGAGATATTACCATGAATAAGGTAGATAAGGTCTCTGCTCTCATGGGGCTTACATTCAAGAAAGGAGAGACAGACGACAAACTCAAGTAAATAAGCTTCCTTGGATAGTGATAAGTCCTATGAAGAAAAATAAACAGAGTAATGGGATAAAGAGTGTCTGCAGGGATGGCTACGATACATGGGATAGTGACAGAAGGCTTCTCTGAAGTGACATTTGACTAGAGACCTGAGGTAGGAGTCAGGCATAGGAATATATGGAGTAAGAGTGAGTGTTCTGTGCAGAGAGATACAAGCTTGACATGTTGGAGGAACAGACTGAAGCCTGTGTGGCTGGAGTGCAGTGAGCAAAGGGAAGAATGTTACATGAAGTTGGAGAGGGAGATAATATAGAGCCTTGTGGGCCATAGTGAGGAGTTTGGATTTTATCCAGTGTACAGTGGGAGACCTTTAGGGGCGTTAAGCAGACAAGTGATAAGAACTGATTTAGTCTTTAGAAAATAACTTTGCCTGATTTATGGAGAACAGACTTTAGGTGGGTGTATTAATTATCTATTGCCATGGAACAAATTACCCCCAAACTTGGCATCTTAAAATAACAAATATTATATTATCTCATACAGTTTCTGAGGATCAGGAATCTGTGAGCGGCTTAGCTGATGGTTCTCAGAGTCCCTCATGTGTTGCAGTCAAGCTGTTGGTCGGGGCTGCAGTCATCTGAAGGTCTGACTGAGCCTGGAAGACCTACTTCCAAGCTCACTCATGTGGCTGTTGGCAGAAACCCTCAGTTCCTCGCCACATGGGCCTCTCCGTAGGGCTATTCATGACATGGCAGCTGGCTTCCCCCACAGCAAATAATCTGAGAGAATGCAACCAAGATTGAAACCAGTTGTCTTCTATAATCTAATCTCAGAAATGATATCCTATCACTTCTGCCAAATTCTATTGACCACACAGACTAACCATAGTACAATGAGAAAGGGGCTACACAGGGTATGAATACCAAGAGGTGGAGATCAGTGTGGCCATCTTGGAGCCTGGCTACTACAGTGGGCAAGAAGAGAAGCAGGAAGACTTGTTAGGAGGCTATTGCCGTGGGTGTGGCCGTTTGGTAACGTGGATCATGTATCCTCCTGTGGGGTATTGATGCTGTGCATTTCTTCTTTTCCCAGGCTGCCGGCGGGACCAGGATGGCTATTACTGGATCACTGGCAGAATTGATGACATGCTGAATGTATCTGGTGAGGGCCAGGGACCATTTTCCCTTCTTATTAGTCCTGCTCTCCCAGCAACTCCCAGCCAAAGCCTTCTGAGAGAGCCAGGATGTCCTTTGGCCAAACCATGCTTAGAGTGAGGCATTCAGTTCTGGGCCCAGGTTTTAGAGGAAGAGTGATAAACACTGGAATGTGCCTAGAAGAGGGAAACTGGTATGGTGGGGCAACTGAAACATGTTCTGTGAGGAATGAATGAAGGGCCTTCCCCATTTGACCAGACCAGGACTGCCCTGTAGGCACAGGTGGAGCAGGGGTTGAGGCAGAGGCTGGAATTTCTCTTATGGCACTTCCCTTCCCTTGACAAGGACACCTGCTGAGCACGGCAGAAGTGGAGTCAGCACTTGTGGAACATGAGGCTGTCGCAGAGGCAGCTGTGGTCAGCCACCCACATCCTGTGAAGGGCGAATGCCTCTACTGCTTTGTCACCCTGTGCGATGGCCATACCTTCAGCCCCATGCTCATGGAGGATCTCAAGAAGCAGAGTAAGGAGCCTCCCTGGGCAGGGACTGCAGGGTCTGTCCTGATGGTCCAGTTACCACAGCAGGTTGTTGGGGAGGGGCCGGAGTGAGCTGCTTCCCAAACACAAACAGATTCAAGAGGGCCTTAGGGGCTGATTGCTCTCTTCCCATTCAGTCTCCACTAGTCTCTCCACTAGGATAACAATGCCTAACAGTTGTAGAATTCTTTCTCTGTGCTACCACTGAGCTAAGTGCTTTAAATGCATTAATCCATTCAATCCCTATAATCACTCCCATGAGAATAGATCTTATTTTTACCTTCATTCTAAAGATGAAGATATTGAGGCTCAGAGAAGTTAAATCACTTGCCCAAGGCCACACTGCTAGTAAAGTGGGGTTTTAACTCGAAGGCCACTTCTAGAGCTTGAGTTCCATTCAAGTAGATTAAGATAAAATAATAGTAAGTAAAGAGATAGTAAAGAGACACTGTGCTAAAAAGAAAGACAGACTGGCAGTGAGCCTGAGACTGACCCTGTGGGCAGGGCCCTGAAGAGGAAGTAGGCGGGGAACAAAGCTATCTCTACCTTGGTTTTTGGGAGCCTAGCTAAGGGTACTGAAGAAATGCTTAATGATCTGTTGGTTATAGTTAGAGAAAAGATTGGCCCCATTGCCACACCGGATTACATCCAGAATGCACCAGGCTTGCCTAAAACCCGCTCAGGTATGTTCAGAGTCCTCAAAGGATTGGGAACGGGATTGGCCAAAGCCCAGTGGTTGTGAAGTGTGTATGGGTGGAAGCTTCTGGCAGGGCTGGAGTGGGTCAGTGCCGTCACCAGGTAACCAGAAGCCTGTGGTCTCCCAGGGAAAATCATGAGGCGGGTGCTTCGGAAGATCGCTCAGAATGACCACGACCTGGGGGATACCTCTACTGTAGCTGATCCATCCGTCATCAGCCACCTCTTCAGCCACCGCTGCCTGACCATCCAGTGAACAAGACCCTGCCCTTTACCCAGGATTCTCCCTGCTTGGCTTTCCAAAGTTTTGCCCACCCTCCCTGCCCCTCAGCACTGGAGTGCTGAGGTCCAGTGCTGACCCATACCACCTCCCTCGACCAGCTGTCTGGGACCGAGGACCAGCTTTGCCCCTGGGAGGAGGCAACTTCCTGTGATTGCCAGGCAGATGGGACAGGACCCAGGTCAACCTCAGGTTGCTGTGCCCCTAGACTGCAAAGAGCCTTTGGAGCCCAGAAAAGGGAACTGAAGGTCATGTTCCCAACCCAAGTTAAATGTTCAGAGGGCAAGTGAGGGCCTAGACTGACACAGGGAGGCAGCTCTGTAATCCTATGTCACTTCTCTCAGGAAGCACCAGTACTTATCTTGGGCATGCATTTGCTCTTAGAAATGCCTGTTTGTGAGTCCTGGAACAATTGATTATTATTTTTTTAAACACTTTGCTGCTTCTGTTCTGGGTCTAAATTCCCTTTTGTGTCAGATGGTAGTGCTTGTCTGCCCATTTGCTCCAAGGGCTGTGCAGGCAGGCTCAGTTTCCAGAGGGTTTTCAGATCCTCTGCTTCTTTGCACGAGTAAATGTGTTTTGTTCCTAGGGCCAGAGGAGCCTGTCTTCCTTGTCCTCTGTTCCCTCCCACCCCAGAACAGAGTCCTGCCCATGAGAGACATGCCCAGATGAGACTCTCTTTTCTTGCCCCGGTCATGCTCAAGCTCTGTGGTTGTAAGAATAAAGTCTGTGACCTCAAGAAGGCGGTGACTAGTTTTCTTAGGTATCTTACAGGCTGTATACTTGCTAGCTGCTCTGATTTGTGTGGGGGCTGGGAAGGGGAGTGGTTTTCCCCAGGAATACCCCAATATCCTCCTTCCAGAACTTTTGGTTTGGGCGGAGCTAGGCAGGGTTTCACTCACAAGTCCTTTGACAAGCTCTTGAGCTAAGCAGGAAAACAACTGAAGCCAGTTCACATCGGCGATGTCCCATCACAGTTGCCCTCTCTCCTCCCTATGATCCTGTGGGAGCCTTAGTGAGTGACTAAGGATTAGAACTTCCGGGTCCTATCCATAGAGTCTAGGGCTAGGGAGACTCTGATTACAGCCAAGTCACTTCCCCTGCTCCATTTCACCTTAAGTGGGCTGACCCAGATTATAGCTCCTCCCTCCCCTAAATGCACAGAGCAAGGAATCACAGAATCAGCAACACGGTTTTATTTAAGGCAGAGGTGGGGAAAGGCTATGCCTCTCCACCCTGCTCCTCCTACCCCTCAGTCCTATCCCAAGTCAGACACTGGAACCTGCTGAAAAGGCTAAAGAGGAGCTGACAGGAGGGAGGCAGGGTTATGGACCCTTACCTCAGATCAACTTCCTTTCAGCTGTACCCACACCTGAGGATTTAAGGGCCTCTAGAGCTCACCTAAGGGAAACACAGCTTTTCTGGTCCTCAGATGGGAGAGCTAGGGGAAGGTACCCAGCATTCACCTTCCATGAAGACCCTGGAGGTCTCCAGAAGAGACTAGCCCTCCCAAGGTAGGGGGAGGGCAACCCCTCAGGAGGGTTAGAGGAATGACAAGTATGAGGGATAGAAGGCCTCTTGAGTGAAGTCCCAGAGGGCCTGACTGCGCCCTCACACAGGGTATGGGTTGTCTAGGACTGCCACTCCTGCTGCGACACCACCATCTGCGTGCTCGATGGCTTTGGTTCGAAGCAGATGTCCCACGTGCTTGTTCATCACAAGTGTCTTCCCCTGCCTATAGAAATGGGGGCAGGAGACACACAACTCCATCACCTGGACTCAGCACCCAAACCCAGGACCTTCCCTGGTCCCAGGTGAGCTGTGGGTGACTGACTACACCCAAGAAAGTACTAGGATTTTAGAATCAGATTTGGGTTTGCATCCTAGCTTGGGAATTACTCTGTGTCTTTGAGCAAGTCACTCAGCCTTTTTAAATATCAATTTCCTCAATTTAAAATAGGGATAATACCTCTCACTTTGCAAGATGGTCACAAGGATTAAATAAAGCAGGAAAAGCACTTAGCATGATGCCAGGCTCACATTTCATGTTCTGTAGCTGTGAATTTCCTTCTCTACCTCTTTCTCAAGATGGCTGGTAGGGGTGGAGGTTGGGGGAGGTGGGGGGTGGGGAGGCAGGCAGAGATGCTGCAAGTGGTTAGAGGGGAAGATTATAGAGAGGGCAGGCTCTGGTGGGGAGCATGGAAGGATCTGGTATTCCTACCTTGCTCTGACCTAGGAGTGAGTCTTTTGCAGGAAGTGGTATGAGGGACCAGGAACTGTTCTTTACAAATACGCAAGTGTTCCTCTCTTCCTGATTCTTTAGTCCTCAAACCCAGACCCAGGGGCCACTCAGATTTTCAAAGCCACTGAGTACCCTCTAGCTGGCCCATCCCACCTTTCCCCAAATCCCCAGTGGCCTGGGGGCTGGACCCAAACTCTCTTCTTTCCTGGGGTCTCCTCCTAGTCCAGGATTATTTTCTCATCCATCTTACTACTACTTGGAATTTCCTTTATAGTTGCAAAGCAATTCTCATCTGGGATTCATTCCATAGCCCTGTGAGGTGGGCAGGTCTTGCCCTCATTTATGAGAAAAGGAAACAGGTAACACAGCTAGGGGTTGGCAGAGCTGGGACTGAAGCCCAGGACTCCTGCTCCCTGTCCAGTGCTCCCTCCAGGCTCGCTTGGCTGGCTGTCTGGCAAGGAGGATCGCCTCCTGACTGGCTCACCTGACATAGACTCCGAAGATGCCCAGCTCTGAGATGCACTGGACCACTTGGGCAGGGCTGCCAGGCCGTAGCAGGCAGTTCCCAAAAGGCTCAGGTTCAATCTTCTCCATGAGGATGTAGGAGGCCCTCTCCTCGCTGTCCTTCAGCTGCTGCAGAGCCTGCACCATCTCCTCACCATAGAGGTTGTTACCTGCAATTCCACTGGCCAGTCACCCTGGACCCTCTGCCCACCTTCTCCACCCTGTGCCCCCACTTCTGTGGCCAGGTGGGCAAGTCAGCAGCCTCAGTTCCTGACACCAGCTCAGTGAAGCCAGGGCAGGCCTGGCTTGTCACCTTAACAGGAGAGCCCTCACTCACACAAGTGAACACACCTTCCACCACACCACCCTGCCCTGGTTCTCCTCCTACCTGTCTATGGCTGTTCCTTCTCAGCCTTCCTGACTGGCTCCTGCCCCTCTTAAATGTTGGGATTCCCAAGGAATCGGTCCTCCACCCTTGCTCTCTCCTCCACGTACATACTTGTTTTAGGGAGATCTCTTCCAAGACTCTATCTATATCCTGTAACTTGTTAACTCCCAAATCTTAACTCAAGCACCCTACTTTAGACATCACATGGATATACCATGGGCCCCCAAAACAAACTCAACATGTTCAAACAGAACTCATTACTTCTGCCTAAACTTGCCTCCCCTGGACCATCCTAATCCCAATCAGGCAAAAGGTACGCCTGAGTGATATTTAACTCCTCTCTCTTCATTACCAGGCCTCTACATTGCTCTTCTGGACAACTACACCAGGTTCCTCTATGGTCTCTCTGCTACCAAAGTCTCCCCTTATTCCAGGACATGCTCTACTATAGCTGAAACATGGATCCTGGATCAATCGTGTGTCCCTTCCGTCCCTAACTCTCTAATGACTTCCCAATCCCCTTAGGATAAACTCCAATTTCCTACATATATTCAATGTCGTTTATAATCAAGTCTCAAACCATCTGTTCCAGCCCAAATCCCTGCCTCCTCCCATCTTCCACGCTGCACTCCAGCCTCACCAGTTACTCGTTAATCTCCAAACATACCACAGTTTCATGGACCAGTGCCTCTGCTTGAGGTTGCTCCTTCTGTATGGAATGCTGTTCTCCCTTTTCCACCTGGGAAAATCTCACCTATTCCTTAAGACCAAGATCAAAAATCATCTCCTCTGGGTCTGTGAGGCAGACATGATCCTTGCCCTCAAGGAGTTCAAACAAGGGAAGAAGACATCCAACCTCCTGATATGCCCCTATCCCGCTCCCTCATAATCCATCCTCAGGCACCTCAGACTAAATTTATCCAAATCCTCCAGTGCTGGTTAATCAGATTCCCCTGTGATCAAAGGGTCTCCTGGGACACTGTCCAAGGTGAGGGCCTGTGTCAATTCCTCTTGTATCCCCCCAGAGCCTGGGACTGCCCACAGTAAGCGCTGGTTAGCACTGGTGACAGCCTGCTAGCCCCCTTTCACTAAACAGCCCTGCAAAGGGGGAAACCACCTACCTCCACCCTCTCTCTGGGGCTTTAGCACAAACCGGCTGGGGGCAGCAAGGGCCTCAGCGATGGCCTGGTCCCCTTCTGCACCCTGGCAAGAGGCAAGAAAGCAGTCACCAGCAGTTTTAGGCCAGAGCAGGAGCTGAGGTCCTGCTGGTTGTGCAGAGCAGCATCAGAGGAAGAGCAGGAGGGGGAAGAGCCATAAGCCCCCTCAGGCTAGATGCTACTATCTGGAGGTGAACCCCAACTAAACCCCTGCAGCAGCAAGTACAATGAGAACAAGCTTTCTCTGGCAACAGTTCAGGGCTCTGCAGCAGGAGGCCTGGAAAGTAGGCACAGATATTCCCGTTCTTGCTGTCTGCCTCAGCCCCTTCCCCTGGTTACCATCCTTATCCCCACCTTTGCTGAGGGAGTTTACAATGAATTCCACCCCCCTCCCCAGGGCTCTAGGGGTTCTCACAGAGCATCGCTGACCCAAGTCCAGCCTAGTGCCAGCTCTAGCCTCCTCAACACACTGGGCTCTGGGTCCCTGCCACCTAGGAGACCTGTGGTGGGAGAAACGGGCTGCCCACCCACCATGTCCAGCGAGTAGAGGCCAGCAAAGGTGGCACGGAGGCGGGCCACAGTCTCAGGCTGGCCCGGGAGCAACATCTCCAGCACACCCACTCTGCTCAGCTCCTGCTGCACCTTCTTAGTCCCAGCCAGCTGGGTGGCAATGTCTGGACACTTGACAGCACATGACCTCTCCAGCAGCAGACGTGCTTCCCAGTTCTGCAGAGGGAAGAAAACAAAAGGAATTCTACTTTATTTCACTTCGGCTGACCTTTACTGAGCATCCATCAGGTGCCAGGTATCCTGCTTTCTATTCTGACATTCATTATCTCCCAGGGTAGTTGCAACGTCCTTGTGAGGCAGGTGTGGCCCCTCTCAATCTGCAGACTTCTTGCCCTCAGGGAGCTCACCATCTAGCACAATGATACATGACTATAAGTAAAAGGGAAAATGACGAAAGGTGTAAGGGTGTAGAAAAACTGATGAGGAGGTTTGGAAGGGGTGGGACACTTGTTTGTGAGCTCAGCTTCCTACTGCACTCCAAGTAAAATCCAAACTCCTTACCACAGCCTGAAAGACCCTGTAGGATCTGCCTCCTGTCTCCTTTTCAACCTCATTGCATGCCATCCCTCCACCCACTCCCATATTCCAGCCACACAAGCCTGTCAGACCTCAAACACACAAACATCATTCCCACCTCAGGGAATGATGCTTTTCCCTCTGCCTAGAATTCTTTTCCTTTTGGCTTTTCCAATGAATGGTTGGATCCTTCTCATTTTTTTTTTTTTTTTTTTTTAAAGTTTTTTTTTTTTTTTTTTTTCCCCCCAAAGCCCCAGTGGATAGTTGTGTGTCGTAGCTGCACATCCTTCTAGTTGCTGTATGTGGGACTCGGCCTCAGGATGAACGGAGAAGTGGTGCCTCGATGCGCACCCGGGATCCGAACCCGGGCCACCAGCATCGCAGCGCGCGCACTTAACCACCAAGCCACAGGGCCGGCCCGGATCCTTCTCATTTTTAAGTCTCAGCTCAAAGTCACCGTCTCAAACCACCCTATTTAATGTGGGTTTCTCCCTAATTCTCTATCTTTTCACCTTGTTGTTTCATTCAGAGTTTCCCCCAACTAGAAAAAAACATTATTTCTGTTTACTTTCTGATGCCCATCTCCCTGACCAAACTGTGAGCTCCATTAGGACCGGACCCTTGTCTGTCTTATTTCTGGTTGTATCCCCAGTGTCCCACATAGTGCCTAGAGCTTTGTAGGTGCTCAATAAATATTATTGTTACTTAATGAGGTGAAATCTGAGTGGACAGGTAGAGTCTGATAGGTGAGACTCGACAGGGAAGAGGTACTCAGGTTTAACAGAATAATATGAGCAAAGGCCTGCAGGAGGGTAATTACAGGATAAACATCTGGTGTGCCATGAATTTAGGGTGTGAGAGGCAGAGAAAGAGCAGAGGGTCATGCCTCCCAGCTCTAGTCCCCATTCTCAGGCACTGGGGGGACAGTCTGTCCTTGACTCCAAACCACATCAAACTGCACACAGTAGGATCAAGTCTATGGCCTGAAGAGCAACGCCCCCCTCCTCCTCCCACCTCCACCTCTGTCCATGCTGTCCTTCCATTGATACCATGAGTCCACCTGCAGCATCTTTGCCTGGTCTTCACCAACAAGCCCAGCCACCTAACTACTAGGCTGGTGTCCAGGGAGAGTTATAGCTGCCCAGAATATCAGAGATAAACCCAGAGAAGTACTCCATTATGTTAGACGCAGAGAAGCACAACTCAGAGATGAGCAGGGGCTTGCCCAGGGTCACCTAGCAAGACATCAAGCCTTGCAGATTTATCTCTATGTTCTAAGTCCAGTCTGAGTTTCTCAGTTCCCTAAAAATGTCCTCCTCCATATGCAATAATTTCCTTCCTTGTTAGCTCAACCTCTTCTCTCTTTTTCAAGTTTTCTTTGGCCCCTTCCCCTAAACCCCTTGTCCTAGAACTTGGATCCATTTTCCCAGTGGACAGTTTCTCTCTTCTCTATTCAGCAAGTTCCCACCACTGCTAACCACATTCTAGAGAAAAGGACCTTCTATAGAGCTGCCACCTCTGTGGAGCTGCCCTCTATACAGCTGGGCCTTAGGGAGAATCCTTTATTCAAAAAATCATAGATCTGGAAGCAACTCCCTCAATTTTCTAGTGTAGTTCCCTCAGCTTACAGAAACTGAGCCCAGAAAGGGCCAGGGACCTGCCCATGGTCACACACAGGCAGAGCCAAAGGCTCATGACCCCCAGTCTACTGCTCATGGTATTTTCTAACTTATTTCCTCCTTTATCTTTTCCCAACTGAAAGCAGGGCTTCTTAGCTTCTCCATGCTGTGGATTAGGGGCAAGGGGAGAAGAATGATATACTGGGAATGCCACTGGACTGAGAGAAAGCCTGGGAACTCCCTGTGGGACCTTAGACAAGCTCCTGCATCTCTCCAAACCTTAGTTTCTCCAGCTGTATAATGGGGATAATTATACACCTCACAGGGTGGTTGTAGGGATTAAATGAAATAATGGATGTGGAAAGTAACACGGAAGGATAACAAGATAAGGTGTGTTATTAACATGAATGGACATGGAACTGGCCCCGTGGCCAAGTGGTTAAAGTTCCGTGTGCTCCGCTTCAGCGGCCCAGGTTCTCGGGTTCAGATCCCAGGCGCAGACCTACTCCACTCATCAGCCATGCTGTGGTGGCATCCCACATACAAAATAGAGGAAGATTGGCACAGATATTAGCGCAGGGTGAATCTTCCTCAGAAAAAAATAACAAAAAACCATGAATGGACGGGTGATAAAAACTTTCTGATGCAGATAAAAGAGAGGTAAGAGTGGGCAGGAAGGAAATGGTCAGTGGTGGGGTGAAACTGGTTTGTGAGAGCTGACTATAACCATCTCTTCCTAACCCTGTGTTCAGAGATATTAAGTTGGGTAGCTTGAAATTGGCCATGATGGGAGTAGTTACACCATAGAAATCAGCCAATGCTACAAATTGGGGCTTTCCCCCTTAAGAAAGATGATTGTTAAACATTTAACAGCATATCCCTAGAAACAGTGTGAATGGCTGAAGCACCGTGGATTCCTGAGGATTCAGATTCTAGAAGACAGTGTGTTTGTAGAGACTGAAAGGTAGCAAAAAGCTTGTGGGAGCATAGGAGGTTCCAGCAGCAAGTTCCCTGAGGAAGAACTGAAGCCAGGGCTCAGGGGAAAACCCAGGTTGTTGTGACGCCTGAGTTGGGTCTCTGAGGAATGATGGTGGGTCCCAGGAGGCAAAGAACAGTCTAATAAAAAATACCAACCTGTTGACTGTACTGATTTGGCATGTAGCCATCCCGGAAGTAAACCACAGCAACTTCCTGGCCGTCCCTAGAACACGGATGGAAAAAGCTGCTATGTTAAATTATAACTGATGTGTTCAGTGGTTCAATCTATTTTTAGAGTGCATCAAAATGAGTTTGGCTTCTTTGAAAGTCAGTCCACAGGGGTAGCCTGGAGAGAGGTTCACTGGAAACAGTGAAAGTAGATACCCACACTACCACAGTTTCCACTAAAAACATGGAGGTGTGTAGAAAAGAATACTTTAGAATATTCCAGATCTAGAGTCATTCTAGGAAGGCCAGAGGTAAATAAGAAGGCAACCAGAATCAAATTAGGTAAATTAAAAAAAAGTAGGCTCGGGGCTGGCCCAGTGGCGTAGCAGTTAAGTTCGCACGCTCTGCTTTGGCAGCCTGGGGTTCACAGGTTCAGAAACCAGGAGAGGACCAACGCACCGCTTGTCAGGCCATGCTGTGGCAGCATCCCATATAAAGCAGAGGAAGATGGGCATGGATGTTAGCCCAGGGCCAATCTTCCTCAGCAAAAAGAGGAGGATTGGCAACGGATGTTAGCTCAGGGCTAATCTTCCTCACACACACAAAAATAAAGTAGGCTCAAAATTACCAAGCAACAGAATCATATTGCTGTGCTTAGAAAAACACACTTTTATTCACATTGCTTAAAGTAGCTGAAACCAGGCTGAGATTTTTAAAAATGGCAGAGGTGAGGGTGGGGAGATGCAAAATTATGAGTCTAGTTGAGACAGGGTGTCTTTTTGAACTTCCCCTTTTCTTTGATTTATTTGATATTGTCTGATCTATCTGGAAAGTAAATTAACAACTTTGTTTTGTTACATTAAAAGCACATTTTGAAAATAGTAAGTGGTATTGTGAAATTTCATGGAGGTTTTTAATTTTAAGAATCACAAAGTTCCAGGTCTAAATACGTGTGCTGCAAGCAATGCTACCCACATACGTGGTACTAAAGTCACCTGGTGGTGGCCCCTGGAGGGAAGCACAGGGCCTGGCTTAGAACACAAATCCAGGCCCCTCGAGGTCTTGCCTGAGCTCAGGGAGCAGCTCCCAGATCAATCATAGAATGAGCTAGCTACTCCTATTCCTCTCTAACTGCCCAAGCCTGACTTGACCAACAACCAAGAGGGGCAAGAAAACTTTCAGGAGCCAGGAGCATATGAAAACCAAAGTCGTTTTAAGAAAGCCCTTATCCAGAATGTCAATAGCTCTGATACAACCCTTTAGAAGCAGAACTTGGATAGCCTTCTCCAAAATTTCCTGGGATGATGTGATATTTCAGAGTTCACCCCTAAAATTCAGAGAGAAGGAAGCAAGCCCTCACATCTCCCAGAAGAAAGGATCGTTTGGGGAAAGTGGGTGGCAGGATGAGTTTCCTAAACCAGTCCTCTATTGGATCCTTGGGGAATGCTCCCTGAACACTTACATAAGCAGCCTTCGGTCTTGATCCAGAGACCCCTTTTCAGAGACATCTTCAAACCTTCGCCGAATTACATGGATATTCCTGGGAAAGACAGGCAAGGGTCAGAGTGAGTGGATACTCTGTTCTGAGTGGCTTTCCCCAATCCTGGGGCCATATCTGGAAGTCTCTCCTCCTTTACTTACTTGGCCAGTAGCTCATTCTCTATGGCACGCTGGTCAAATATGTTCCTTTCCTTCTCTTGAGCAATGAGTAGAACCAGAGCACTGGGGAAAGAGCACAAGTGGCCCGAAGTGGCTACAAAGCTTGTCCTCCCTCTATCTCACCCTCTTCAGGAGTAAGAACGAGAACACAGCTTCCCTGAAAGAGCAGATGTTCTCTCAACTCAGGACTGCTTCAGGCATAGACACCTGAGGCTATAACATATTATTTCCTGAAAATAGGAAACTTGAAAAAAATAGAGATGTCTCTGCCCCTTCTCTAGTAGGTAGATAAAATATTGTAATTTTCTGTGCCAATTAAAATTTAGATTTAAAACCATCTCAGAAACCTAAGAGGACTTTTTCTTAGAACTTAACATAATGATTCTAAAATCTTTCCGGAAGAATAAACAGGTAAGAATACTGAAAATATTTTGTAAAAGAACAATGCTAGCGGGCCGACCCGGTGGCTTAGTGGTTAAGTGCGCGCGCTCTGCTACTGGCAGCCCGGGTTCGGATCCCGGGCACGTACCGACACACCGCTTCTCCGGCCATGCTGAGGCCGCGTCCCACATACAGCAACTAGAAGGATGTGCAACTATGACATACAACTATCTACTGGGGCTTGGGAAAAAAAAGGAGGAGGATTGGCAATAGATGTTAGCTCAGAGCCGGTCTTCCTCAGCAAAAAGAGGAGGATTAGCATGGATGTTAGCTCAGGGCTGATCTTCCTCACAAAAAAAAAAAAAAAAGAACAATGCTAGGAGTTGGGGGCTAATGACCCTATTACTAGATTGTAAAGCACATAATAAAAGACTGTGTAGTTCTTGCATAAAACAGAATAGCTCATTAGAATTCCTACAGAAACTCTATAAAGCCAACTATACATAAGGCATTATCTCCTGAGGCCTCCCAACATTTCTGTGACGTACCCAGGGTCACGTTTGGTCCCACAGTATTAATGGGATCTCTGGGGCTTACCCGGCCTCTTCCTCTCTGCTTATCCACGTTTCTTAAAGAAGCAGGAGCTCAAGGACTCAGGGCAAAGCTAATGTCAGAGAACTGTCTGGCTTCCAACCAAGCTATTTTCAGTTGTCAAAGACAGGTCCAGTCCCCCACCACACTCTCTTAGGGCCAACACTCAGCAGTATTTTTGCTGTAGCTGTACTGCTCTGTGCCGGTGGCTTCTTGCTGAGACTCCTGGATGGCCAGACTTTGGCTTAGGATTCTAAGTGTGGATTCCTGACCTCCTATACTTCATGTCTGTTTGTCTCTGCTTCTCTCTACCTCAGCTGAATCTCTTGGACTACACTGTGCCTGATTCCTTTCCACTTAGCCGAAATACATATCCTAGTATGCCCTCTCTCCTGGCCTGCCTGAAACCTTTTGAGGTCAGACGTGACATTAAGCTGAGTCTTGGCTTGAGTTGGGTATCCAACAGACAGGTTAGAAATGGTACTCTCACAAGCCATCTTGCCCTGAGAGAGTCCCGAGAGTCAATGGCTTTGCTCTTCACTTTGCGGCCCGATCTGCTCTGTTCATGGGTGGGAAGGTGGCACCTGGCCCAGGCTGGCCTACCTCCAAGAAAATGTGGAGGAGGGCAGCTGTAGGCTGTAGGTTAAAGTGGAACTGCATGCGCTGGTTAATTAAGTCAGCCTGCCCCCTGCCAAAAAATCGGAGCTAGACTCAGAAAACATATTCTACCTCCTCCTGTCTTTAGTTCTGAGCAGCCTGCTGGGAGTTGTCAGCTAAGAAAGGTGAAGTGGCAGCAGCATGCTGGCTGGGAGTGAGGACTCCTGAGTCCCAGTCCCGGCTCTGGCAGTAACTTGTGGTATGTCCTTGGGCAAGCCAGTTTCTTTCCTTGGGACTTGATTTTCCTATCTATAAAATAAAGGTGTTAAATAGATCATAGATCCCAATCTTTTACACCAAGAGTCCCCTTTTCTTATCTCTACTCATTCTAACCACACACACTATATTTTGAAAGAGTTTGAATGAATGTCTTAATTGAAATCATAATTCATTTTCCAGGCTTCCTTTAAAAAAATGCTTAAAAAGTATGAGCTAATTGATGAAAATTCATCTGCTCTACAAATGCTTAAGCCTTAGTTTTTCAATCTATGGGACCATTCAATCTATGGGACCTCAGCTTTTCTATGGGACCATTCCGCTTGGAAGCAGAAGAGTGTAGTAGAGAACACAGGCTTTAGAGGCAGATAGACATCAATTCTAAACTTACTAGCTGTGTGACTTTGGGCAAGTTATTCAACTTCTCTGAGCACTCAGTTTGCTCTTCTGTAAAATAAAACTAGTACTCCTTAAATGGTAGCCATTATTATTATCATTATTGGAAGTACCAGATAATGATCCTCAAGTTTTTTAAAGCATTTTTCAAATCCATGATTTCATTTAATTCTCATTACCACCCTTTTAGGTATTATTACTCTCATTTTACAAACGAGGAAACTGACACTCAGAGAAAAGACAAGACTTAATGAAGGTCATGTGCTGGGTCAGTAGAAATGCCTATTTGACTCTTAAAATTAAGGAAGCCAGTCCTGGCTCAGCCGCCCCACAGCTCTTACCCACTAGCACCTAATTCTGGGCACGTGAGTCTTTTCTCTCCATGTTATTCACAGCCTGGCTGAAGAAACCCTCTGCAGCGTTTGTCCATCAGCAGTTCCCCAGCTGACCCATCTCCTGGCTTCACTCTCTTAGAATACGGCCTATCCACGAGTTCTAGTTGACAAAATATTCATTCGATGACTTCTAAATGCTCAGAGTCTGAGGTTTCTTGAGTCTTGGTGAGGCTTAGCAAGCCCAGGGAGGCTCCCTTGGAGGCAATAAAGTGATTAAGAATGCAGTTTCTGGAGGAAGGTGGACTCTGGGCTCTACCACCAACTCGCCACTTGACCTTGAACAATTCACTTCATTTCTCTGAACCTCAGTTTCCTCATCTGTAAAATGGGAGAGATGAATAGTATCTACCTCGGAGTGTTTGATAGAAGGATTCAATGAGATCTTGTATGAAAAGTGCTTAGCACAAAGTGTGGCACTAGTAAGAGCTTCATTAAGGGTTAACTATTAATGCTATATTAACATCGCAATAACTTAGCACAGTGGCCCCTCACTTATCCAGAAGTCACTTACCTAGCATCTTCACACATCTGGAACACAGTTGAGAAATAGGAAGGAAGCAAAAAAATGCCTCTAAGCAGTTCAAACAGACACTATAAAATCCATAAATCAAAGCTTATGCGTTTACTCATCAAAGAGGCCCTCACACTCATTAGACACTATCATAACCCAGATCATCTGCTTTCCCAAGCCACGGCAAACCAGAAAGGAGGTATAGGGATGGAGTGGAGGATTGTAATTCAAGTACACTGACAGCAGTAAGAAGTAAGAGCTGACAGAAAAACTATGAAGAAAAAGAATGAGAGCTTAAAGCCTACCAGATGGGGCCATTAGTGCAGGCTAACAGCCTCACACGCCTCTCTAAGTCTAGGTAGCACTTCTGCATTACATCATGCAGTCACTGACACTCATAATGATGACCTCTAGCCAACAAGAAAAGAGCAAATTATAGTCAGCATCTCTTATGTAAGAAGGAAGCCCAAAACTCCAAAATAATTTTGGCACTTAAAAGTGTAAGTTTCTTTTCCTAGAAAAATTCGCTCATTCCCTAATGATGTCAGGCAAAGAAGTTGCTGCACCCACGAATGCTGAATCTAAAGCCAGCTTCTGCTGCCACATTTTCTCCCTCTTACTTGGCTGAGCCGTAGAGCTCCCAGGCTTTGGCAATCCCCAGGGCCAGTCCCTTGCTGGGATTATTGGAGAGGATCTTGGCAGCTTCTTTGGTCTTGCTCAGGACATTGAGAACATGTCTGTTGGAAGCGAGATGTCTGTTCAGTAAATGGATGACTCCTCTGCCTGTGACTCACAGACACTTATAGGAGCATCACTTTGAGAATTAGCTGAGCACTAAAAAGCATCTTACCATCACGTTCCTATACGATCCACCACAGGCTGGAATATGCTGGGGTGCCCTAACTCTGGCCCCTGGTGTACATCCCCCAAGGAGCCCTGAGACCCTTTGTTTCCACTCCACGCCAGCCTCCCAATGAGCTGGAACCCCTTTCCCTGAGCCCCAGGTGCTGTCTGGAATCCGGCTGCAGACCATCTGGAATCACAGCAACCTGGAGCATCACTGCTGGCAAGAAGTGGATGGTACTAGGGTCCAGCCCTCAGATAGGAAGCCTCTGCATCCTTCTCTGCCTTGGATTCTGACCTCCTTCCAGGCCTTCAAACATGTAAGCTTTTTCTCACCTCAAGACCCTCGCAGATACTGTTCCCTCTGCCTGGAATACTAACTTGTACAATGAGGGGGCAGGACTAGATGAACCGTGAGATTCCTTCTCTCCCTGACATACCAAGACCTAATTACAAGTGGAAGCTGTGCTACAGTGGGGAAGCACATGACCCAGGGCCCAGGAATGCACAGTTAGAGTTGGAGATCCCTGCCCTGGCCTGTGATTGTAGGTTCATCAGGCTGTCACCCCACCGGTATGCCCAGGGCTGCTCAAGGGACTCACCGGTGCACAGCCGGAGTCCGGGAGGCCAGGCCCCCAAAGCTGGCAGAGATGGTGTTGATTTCAATCTGTTTCAGGGCTGGGGAGCCATCTGTGTTGTGCTGGAACATGTAGTCCGAGCGATTCAGGCCCAGGAACACAGTCTGTGGGGAAAACTGAAAGCTGAAGACTTTTGCCCAGGGGCTGACTCTGAGGGCCTACTTGGTGCATCCAGGTACCGTGAACTCTATATAGAAATTAGAGGGACCAGCTAACAATCTCAAACCCAGGGAATCATTCTTTTGGTCATCCCAGGATTGGCCATTGATGTACAAACCCAGTGGGGACCAATGAGAGGCAGATTCCCATGAGCTCAGGGCCTGGGCCAAATTCTTCTGGTAAAAAAAAGAAAAAACAAAAAAAGAGATAGGAGGGGCAGGTTCCAGACTGGGGTAGAGTAGGAAATGGTTACCTGGGCAACACCCTCTTTTAGGACTTGCTTGTGGATGTCAAAGAGACGAGCGGTATAGTCATCCCTTTTGATGGTGCTGGAGAAGGAAACAGAACATTTCCAGGCTACATGGAACCTTAAGGTCAAGGAGTCTCACCCCTTTCCGTTGACTCCTGAATTCTCTCTGGGTCTACTGGCCAAAACTTGAACACCCACACGAACTTGTTAGAGAATAGTGGTTTAGAACTCAGCTCTAGAGCCAGATGACCTGGGTTCAAACCCCAGTTCTACTACTCACTACTAGGCAACCTCAGAGAATCATTTCATCTCTGTGTCTCACTTTGCTCATCTGTAAAATGAAGAAGAAAATAATTACATCACAGAGTTGCAGTGAAGAGTAAACGAGATATTGCATGTATAGAACTGAACAGAGTGTCTGGTCCCAAGAACTCAAAAATGGCATGTGGTACAACCATTCTATACTTGAATAGCGCTGATGGTTGGTAAGCTTTCTGGTTGACCTAATATTAACCCTCCGTAGCTTCCCCTACACTCTGGGACCTTCCAGGCCAAGTCTTCTCTGCCTCTTCCAAGGCAGCCCTCAGGGATTAGAAGACAGCAGTTACCCCTGTGCCCCAAAAGATTTTTCTGACTCAAACTAAATATTCTATTTATTTTTCAACCAGTCCCCATATGATGTGATTTCCTCAGGGAAGCCATCCCTATCTGGATCAGATCCCCCTGCTATGTGGTGTCATAGCAATGCGGACCTCTCCTTTATAGCACTGTTTACAGTTGCAATTTTCCATTTTATTTGCATGATGATTAGTGTCATCTCTCCTATTTGACTATAAACCGCATGACGGTGAGAACCGTGACTGTGCTAACTCATCATCATGACCCAGTGTGCTGCTGTGACATGTGACATGAAGTAGGGGCCATCCAGTATGGTTGTCTGGAGCCTCAGGAAGAGGCACCCACAGGTAAGTAAGGCCACACTTGTTGCCTCTCGAGATTCAGGGTCTCTGCAAGCCTGCTCAAGCCTGACTTGCAGGCTCACCTTGTTACAGGGACCCCACTGAGGCCATGGAGCTCAGGCCTGCTGTGAAGTTCCTCTGCTCCCCAGCCAGCTCTCTCACGGGGCCTTTCCCAGCCCTTGGTGAGGAGGAGAGACCCCAGCTGGGCTTCAGCCTCCAGGAAAGTTGAGACACATTTTCCCTTTTCTGAAGAGGTGCTCCCACTCAACCCCAGACCCTAGGCTGCTATTCTAGCACATGTGATCCTGGGACTCTTCTCTCTTACAAGCTAGTGTTTGTGTGTATTTCAGAGAGGGGAACAAGGAAGGCAGGAGTTGCAGAGATGGGCTGCAGGGAAGGTCTCCCACATATTTGCATTTTTAGGGTAAAGGTCATAAATTAGGCGGCTCATATTTCCCACAATCCAAAATCATAGGTACAAAAGCTTGGCCCATCCTGAGAAAGATCTGGGGAAAGGCAGTGGTAGGGTTTTTATATTCATGACTTATTGGGTTTTTAGCTCTAAGTCAATGGTTTCCAAACTTACCATTATGATCCCTTCTCATATTCACCCTCACACCATGTGCACATTTTTAAAAGATTTTGTTTCTAACAAAATAATGGTTTTCTTTTGAAAAATTAATCAGACATGCAATTTTGTATATGTCTAGTCTCTCTCTCTCTATATATATACACAAATATACATATTTATATACACCTAATTCTAAAGTAAAGAAATTCCCCTTGCCCCAGAGCCTGAAGGGAAAAAAAGATCAAGGGAGAAGAGACAGAGAGAGGGGTGGATGGAGTGAGCCATTTCAAGGGTTTTGTATCCTCGTCTCCTCGTGCCCTGGGGCCCAGCTACACCCCATCCCACCCAGAGATGAGAGGCCTGAGCTGACAAGAAAGGGTCACTGCCTAGCAGAAGAAGTAGAAAATCTGACTTTAAACCCAGTAACCTCCCCTGCCCTCTGTCTTCTCTAAAACTAGGCAGACCTTCCCTAATTCCAAAAGAAATTTCAGTCTTCAAGGCAGGGGGTCATGGATCAGAGAACCACAGAATGTCAGTGTTAGAAGGGACCTTAGATTCAGGCCAACCTCCCCATTTTACAGATGAAGAAATTGAGGCCCAGAGAAAGAAAGGAGCTTGCTTTAGGCCATATAAATAAGTGGTAGAACCAGGATTAGAAGCCAGCTCTCCTGACTTCTATTCTACTACTTTTTATTTCTCCTGGGGGATACCTGTCCCCCACCCCACCAAGTCAGCTGCCAGAGCAACACCTCATGGTTCTCCACTCTTTCAGTCCCTTGGCTCCAGCAGCTCCTGGCTCCCCATTGCCCCACTGCCCAGTACCTGGAGAGAGTTTGCTCCAGAAAGGCAGCATCCTGGCTGACAGCATCCACCAGCAGGTTGAAGTCCATCTGCACAGCATAGGCCTGCTCCAGCAGGGCAGTGGGGACCAGTGAGGGGAAGAGCGTGAAGGGGGCATAGCTCACCACCTGATCAAGGAGAGAGAGTGGGCAGGGGTAGGACACCTGTGAATGGGTTGTCTTCCTTCAAATGTAACCCCATGGAAAGTGTGGCCTACATTTATTGAGGACACACAAACTGCAGAATAGTGGTTACCTCTGGGAAGGGAGAGAAGACAACAGGATGAGGAAGGGATACAAAGAGAACCTCTAGACTCTGTAATATTTTATCCTCTACATAAAAAAAAAAAAAATCAGAAGTAAAACGGCCAAAAACAAAGACAAAAAAACAAACAATAAAACACAAAAAATTATTGAGCACTTACTGTGTGCAAGGCATTGTTTTAAATAGTTCACATGGATTCATCATTTAACCCTCTGAGGAAGATACTATTATTATCTATATTTAATAAACAGACAAGGGAACTGAGTCTCAGAGAGGTTAAGCAACATGTCCAAAACTATATAAAGCTGTTAAGTGGCACTGGGATTTGAACCAGGATGGTTAGTAAAACACACACACACACACACACACACACACTGCTCCTAGCCAGTTGATCTCCAAGCCCAGTACCCTCCCCATGGCAGAGTCTCATACCCCCGTCCGCTTGCCTTCTGGTTGGGAGAGAGGGAGAATCCTGCTGGTAGGGCTGCAGCAGAAGTGAATTCTGGCACCCAGAGCAGAGGCCAGGAGTGGTTCCCCTCAGTGTTGGAGATGGTGATTCAGGTTGCCAGGCCTGGAGTTCAGCTGCATTCTGAGTTCTGTGGACTTTGGCAGAGCCAGGAAACCCAAATACCATCTAGAACACTTTTTTTAGAAGGGGATAATGCATTCTGAGATTCCCAACAACAGATGAAATAGAACTTGGGTAAGAGATTATAAGATGATCTTGTGATTTATATTATGAAACATTCCTGCGTTTACCCTCTGAGTTAATATCAGTTTGTCATTATAGTAGTACAAGTTTATGGTGTTAGAACTTGGCATTTATATATTTATTTTAGAAATATTATTATTTTGAATAGATAATACAAACACATGATACAAAATTCAAGAGACAGAAGGATACATAGTGAAAAGTATATCTCAATGGCCCCAATGACGCAGTTCTCCTCCCCAGAGGCAAACGGTATACTAATGTCTCATATATCCTTCTAGACTAATGTATATGTATACATACATTTTCTCTTTTTTTATACACATAGAAGCATACAATATATACCTTTATGTATAAATATTTCAGAGACATTTATAAGTAGGTATATACATTATGTATATGTATAAACATTTATAAATATTTCAGCGACTTTCCATATATGTTCAAATAGAGCACTCTCTATTATATAAATGGCTATACAGCCATTTTAATGGCTATATAGTATTCCATTCTTTGGATATACCATAATTTATTGAATCTAGCCTTCTATTATGAACATTTAGGTGGTTTCCCTTTTTTCCCCAATTTTAATCACTGCTGCAATGAATATCCTAGAATATACATTCTAGGTATTTTGTGTGTGAGAAGGTCCATAAATTGTAATTTTTATTTTTATTTTTTTTGCTGAGGAAGATTAGCCCTGAGCTAACATCTGTTGCCAATCCTCCTCTTTTTGTGCTTGAGGACGATCAGCCCTGAGCTAGCAACGTGGCAATCCTCCTCCTCCACATGCTGTGGGTTGCCACCACAGCATGGCTGATGAGTGGTGTAGGTCTGTGCCCGGAGTCCAAACCCGCGAACCTGGGCCACCGAAGCAGAATGCGCTGAACTTAACCACTACACCACAGTGCCGGCCCCATGAATTGTAAATTTTTAAAAGTGGAAATATCAGGTAATTAGGGTAAATCTATTTAGAATTTTTGTAGATAACTCCCAAATTGCCCTCCTCAGCATCTATTTTAAGACAAAACTGAGGAAGGGTATTTTTAAGAGTAATGTTTTTTCAGCTTGAAGTCTTTATGAGTTAGAGTGGACTTACTGCAGATTATGTAAGGGGTGACCTAATATCCTGAGTGCATGTGTGATGACTACAGGGGCATTTCCTTGGCTTTAAAACTCAGAACTCTGCTCTGCCAACAAGTCCCATTTGGCCTGAAAAACTCCCAAAGAGTTCTCTGCTAAGACTTCACTCTGTCTCTGTCCCCACGACTCGTCATACCCACTTGAATCTGTGATCAATGGTATACAGCTGTTCTCTGCTGTCCATAGGCTGAAGGCTGAAACACATAGTCTTTTCATTTTTGATAGACACAGACACAGAGAAATATTATTTTACTATAAGAAAAACCATAGCATATGCATGACAATAAACACTCCGCTTCATAGTCAGGAAAACAACAGACAGTGATGGGAAAAAACAAGAAGAACCTCCATCTTATCTAAAGAGGGCAGCCAGAATGCCCCTCCAGCCAATTGCTGCCATACAGGAAAGTGGGCTAGGGTTGCCACTGATCTGATTTTTCAAGACAAGCTGGGTATCTAGGTTTGTATTTTCTTTTTTTTTTTTTTATTGATGTTTTAATAGTTTTTAACATTGTGAAATTTTGGGTTGTACATTTTTGTTTGTCCATCACCATATATATGTCTCTCTTCACCCCTTGTGCCCACCCCCCACCCCCATTGCCCCTGGTAACCACAATACAGTTTTCTCTGTC